GTGTGTGTGTGTGTGTGTGTGTGTGTGTGTGTGTGTGTGTGTGTGTGTGTGTGTGTGTGTTTAAAATTTCAGTTTAGGACACTGTTGAAGTTACCAGATAAAGATCCTTTCAGGTCCTTCTCAGTCAACATTCTTCAAACACAAGTTTCAGATATTTTTAGACACAGATAAATAAAAGATTGATAAAGAAAACATGCTAAAACAGAGCAACTTTTAATCAAAGGTAAGACAGGTCTTTCAGCCTTTTTTTACATAATCACACACTTGATCATTTACATGACAAATCAGAGCAAAAGGAACAGGAAACACTGAGTGTGGCTCTGAGTGATAAATTAGACCTTTTCAAACTGAGTTGTGTCTCTATAAAGTCAATTCTGACATGTCCATAAATGACAATTAACAGGCATTATTAACTTCTGGTGGGGAAAACAACCTTAAATCAGCAAAATAAGACTATTTGATCATGTTTAGGGTGCAGATTCTACAGTCAAATTAGAAATGTGAGCATTACTCAGAACTGGCAGCAGGTTTTAGTTTTGTAGCTGTGGCTGTACTTTAGCTGTGTTAGCTGTGTTAGCTGTGTTAGCTGTGTTAACTGTGTTAGCTGTGTTAGCTGTGTTAACTGTGTTAGCTGTGTTAGCTGTGTTAGCTGTGTTAGCTGTGTTAGCTGTGTTAGCTGTGTTAGGGTGTGTTCTGAATGCTTTCCCAGTGTTTACATCCAACACATGATGGACATCCTGCTCAGATCTATTCCTTTCTCATCTTTTAGCTTCATGCAGTTCAAACACACTCAGGAAGTGAGGAGGGTAAACTTCAGGAGGAGCTGATAATTATTTGTTATATTTGAATGAAACACAATCATTAACGCTGTTAATTTACAAAATAAATCAACAAATGAAGGTAACATTTGTTTTCATTCTACAAATATATATTTCTTCCAGCCACCTAAAGGTGTAGGAGAACATTAATTTTGTTGCACGCCTGTGTGTTCACGTCTTGAGCCATTAGACAAAATTTAAAAAAAACATGCAGAAATCAAATATTAAATATACGTCTTCAACCTATTACTTTTTAAAAAGCAATGTCAAGATAGCTGTCACAGAAAACTCACCTAAATAAAAAAATGTTTCAGTCAGTTTTATAGATATCAGGCTAAATGTTGGTGTTGTAGCTGAACCTAATTCAAGTGCTAATCATTGGGCCTCATGCAAGAACGTGTTCGTATTTTTATCCTGAATTTCTCTTACTTTTGTTCGTACAAAGGGTTCGTACGAACATGTCACGTCAGATTCAACAAACTC